GTTCTAATCAATCAAACCCGTCTCACCACTGCACTACTGAGTGAGAAGGGAACTTTCTTCCTGCGTGGATGGCTCACGCAGTAACGCTGTAACCACACACTGTGAGGAATGCAACAGCTCTTGTGGCTGCAGTGCATTTGAGTCTAATTAAGAACTGGCAGCTGCAAACTTATTATCTTTCCCTTGTATGGAATTCCAACTGATTTCCACTGAACCATTCACTGAATTACTTTCTCAGTCTGGATCTGCTTAACTCGCTGGTGATCTTGGTTAAGAAAAGTTCAGTTTAAGCCAATGAACATCTGTTATAGCGGATGAAAATGGGTCGAGAAAATCTGCATATCTTTGCTGTATCTCCACTGACTTGTTGACGGGGGATTACATAAAAGAGACTATTAGGAGTAGTGTGACAAGAACACCACTCAGCAAAGCAGTATATATAGGCTACTGCATAAGAGCCAGTGTTCAGTCTTTGGCTGCCCTCAGAGTGTGAATTATACAATCACAATTGGGGAGGGTTTGACTTTTTCTCTGAAATGAAAGGGAACCCAGTGCAAGTGCATGCGTCAGTGAACTGAAGTGTTACAGTCCTTACAGTATCTTGCTTTTTTGAACTAAAGCTGCCAAATAAATACAGTGGGGAAGAATGATTAATATTTCCCTCTGAAATGTGGTCAAATGAAATATAAATGGAGTGGAAGTAACAAGTAACATTAACTGTAAATTGCAAGTACCTCAAAATTGTACTTAAATGCAGTACTTAGAGTAAATGTACTTAATTACTTTCCACCGCTGTTAATACAATTACTCAGCCTACAGCACACATGCATTTCAATATTGTTCAATTACCCCACAGGTAAATCTCTACACATAACTACCTCTCTGTATCTATATCTATATCTATATCTATATCTATATCTATATCTACAGTAAATAAAGCGTACACTTCAACTGATATTAGCTTTTTTTTCCAGTGACATTTTTTTTAAAGTGGTTAAGTGGCCCCGGCCACAGCAGCACATCCCTCAGCTTCTGTGCCGGTGCTCCTACTGCTTCTCTAAACTGAGAGCGCCCTGATCTGAATCTACTGCAGGTAATACACTGACTATAGATAAGTACCTCACACAACCCCACGTCAAATAAGCTGGACTATCACATTAACAGCTGTTCACTTATCATTCTAGAAGAAACGTTGCAACTTCAGGATCGAACTTGTTTTGCTTCTATTTCCATTACTTCTTTTCTCCTGCTGAAGCGTGCATGTTAACCAAATAGCTCGGGCCCAAGGCGGCTATAGTAATGTTGTACAACGTCGCCTACTATGTGGCAAACTTGTTAAACAGTTGCTTATTTACACATCCAGTAGATACAGTGCAACATTATTATTCATATGGGCTTTGTTTCCAGACCTGCTGAAAATCCAATATTCACTCTCCTTTTGACTCTAGAAGGAAATATCTGTCTCACTAGCAGGTAAATGCTACAGTACTTACAGTTGCTATTTTTTGTCTTGGTCTAGAGCAGGTAGTGTTCAGTGGGTTTTTAGAGGGTTTTTGCTGAAAATAGCTGCCTACTGAGGCTGAAAACAAGACTATGAGAGCAGCGCGAGTGAACCAAAATAGTGAATTTGTGGGCTGGAGACTATGAAACACACTCACTAGTTCTGTAAAGTTGAGGTGAGCTGCAGATTCAGGTGATAATTCTCTGTAGATTAATCACCATGAGCAACCTCTGTCACATTGTTTTCACATTGTCACTAAATTGTTATTATAGAAATATTGATCATAGCCACTTTAAATATACTGGGCAAAAGCAGCTGTAGACAGTAGAGACAGCAGTGCTCGGATGGGCAGGATGCAAGTTTTTATTTTTAAATGAACTCAACAAAAATGCAGAACAACTCCTGTCTAACTCAGTATAGCACATGTTGGAATATACTTTTCTGGTGCTGTCATCCATACCAAGAATATGCACAGAAAAAAAAAAAAAAAAAATTACCTCACTCCAGTCAGAAAGTGTAAATGAGAGAACAATGTAATAGCTCCCGTGTTGCACTTTGTGCAGTGAACAAACGTATCACTGCTTTTGAGGCTAAGTGCAGGCGACAGCGCCCTAAAGCAGCTTCTCCTCGCTATTTACCAGCCAGTGGTGCGCAGCCTTACTTATTCAGGTCACGTAAGAGGGAGACAAGCCACCAGCAGCGGAGAAAAAGACATGAAATGTCTCTTCACATGGAACCATTTTCATCACTGAATGAAATCTTTCATTTTTTAAAAGTTTTGCTAAAGCGACATGTTGTGACTTAGATCTAAGCTTCTCCTGCCAGATGCTGAAAAGCTAGATATGGGTCATAAGAAATTCCGTATGTCAGCTCAGGCTGGTTGGAGGGCAGTGGGGCGGCAGTAAATGAGTGGTACAGAGAGTTATAATTGGACAAAGTGGGATACAGAGGAGGGTGGTGGAAGCATGTCTTTATCCCAGTGTTGTTCCACAGTTAGAGAGTTGTGAATGAACTTTTGAACTTAATCTGAGAGCAGCTTGTGAACTGACAGTATGAATGCATTCTTGTGGTGAGACAACCCAACATTAAATAGGAGCTCTGCTTTCCATGTTCTAGAGGGATTCTTTTGTTTTAAAGCAGACGCAATCACAGCAGATCATCAGGATCTTTTTGTGAATGTGCACATTATGTTTGTGACACCTCTGAATGGAGTGATCTGCTACTGGCGCATAATTTAGCAGCTCTTCATCGATGTAATCTCATGAATAATATTACACTAATAAACACTCTATTAGGACCACTCGTGAAATCTTTATGAATAATGTATCATTTCAGAACAGCATCTTATTTATTACAGTAATAGTAATCCTGACGTATTTTAAATGTTAATCCCTACACTCTCATGATTTTGCATGTATGAAAATAATAAGAGGAAATTCAGTGCGGTGTTACCATCAAAGGAGCTTAATAAAGGAATTGTTATTCTGTGTCAAGGCTTGAGACGGCTGATGTAGAGAAAACTGTGAAGTTCATCGCATATTCCATAATAACTATAAAGAATTCACAAGCGAGACTGTTAACTGAAACAATAAAGGAGAAAAGTAGTCATTGAAAACACTGCATGTTCTCACATGCAATACTCATCTCATGCTGTGACGGCATATTATTCTGGATTAACTGTAGCAGTAAACAGTAAAATGCTGCCACGTTGTAATGATCCAAATGTATGGAGACACAATAAACAAGAATAATGGATTATTCATCAACAATTTTGATGAATTATATGTTTTAACGTCTCTAAAAGGTCAAGGGGAAATGGGTTTGTCAGATAGAAGCATAAATGAACTTAAGTGAGCACTTGAGGGACTTGAGGGATTTAGGAGGTGAATGACGTAAAAACAAAGCTTGTTTGTTCCTTTTGACAGTGACTGTGGAGACTCTTTGCCAACATAGCAGATGTTTCTCATTACAACAGCTCACCACAGAGCCACAGGTGTCAAATCAGTTCCACGAGTCAGCTACATTGTGTTCCTAAACTTCTGGCAAGGGTGACTTTAACACTGAACTCTTTCAGAGAAATAATGAAAAAAAGAGACACTGTATGTAAATATATATGTATATGTGTATATATATATATATATATATATATATATATGCTTTTCACATCCAGAGAATAAAGCACCACCAGTTACATTCAGACAGCAGTGTGGAGTCAATGTGTCAAGACTACCAAAGTTAAATACAGTACAGTATAAACAAAAACTACAGACATTGTCCTCAATGCTTTAACAACATTGTGTCACAAACCCTTTAGAGAGTCATATGAAAATAATTCACACATAAATATACAACTTAAATGTACAAAGGAGTTACTACTTTTGCCAAAGTTCTCCACGGATTGTGATGAAATGACTGGGGCTTCATAAATTATCGTGATGCATGACTCCACAGTAAGTGACTTTGATTTATGAAGACTTCACGATGCAGTCGTTGCACATTACTCAGTTGCTGCAAAGCAGTACTTGACAGCCATGAATGTGGGCAGTACAGTTTATGATTAAATTGAGAGACTGTCCTGCAGATCTGAGGTAAAAAAGTGCAAACTGTAACTGTGATAGTGCAGCTTGAAACTGACTACTGTGAATATATTTGTTTGGAATGAACCCCTTTACCTCAGACACCGACAGCCAAGTGTCAATGTTTCCTGCTCTGTGTAGAATCAAGCGCTTTACGTTCCCACAGCTGAGTTAAAGCCTGTTGACCACGGATAAACCTAAGATCTTTTTTTTTTTTTTGGAGCATGTATCTGAAAAAAAAAAATCTAAATTTCTACCAACAGATTATACAACAATTGTGAAACGGGATGTACATATTTGTTTTCAATACTCTCCATTGACATAGAAAAGAAAAAACACACCCTTTGGAAGGCTGAATGTGAGTCTTCACATAATTAGACTTGCACTACGTTTGTGTCATGAAACATATTTATGTCTGAGTGGTGATAACATGGCATGAGTAACTCACACAGAGGGTAGTGCTACTTTTCTTTCTTCACTTTCAAATACAGGCAAAATAGGAAGATGACAGAATATACCAAAGATGATGACAAACGACACGGACAGATAAATACAGTAGCTCATTGAAAGCTCTCAGTTAGTCACCCCGGCCCGTTTCCCACCCCTCCCTTTTTGAAAAACACAAGTAGAACAAACAGCTTCTTCATCAACGTCCAACACACTGTCACATAAGACGGTCGCTTCATGGTTGAATGCTTTTGAGTATGACATACTCATAAATACTGTATATATAAATCATGCACACACACACATACGCACTCTCACGCGTTCAGAAATGCTAGATTTACAAAATTATTTACATCAGCTGATAGTCACTCATGTTCCCAGCATTGTGGACAATGTGTTAAAGATGTTCTGAAATGAAGAAAAAAAAAATAATAAAAGGTTTGGGGGATTTGAATGGGTGAAACAGACAACATGACTGTGAAAAGGTGCAATGTTTATTGAACAGGTCTGGATGCAGCCTGCTTTAGTTAAATGCTTTACAGAGAATGGTTTTTGCAGTATGTTTTTTGCACAGCTTCTTGTGAGACATGATAATCACATCACATGCACTTCTGAATAAGGCTGCGTTCAGACTGATATCAGCAATACGTGAAAAAAAAAATCGCAGCTCTCTCCTTCAATTGAAGGAGGTCACTACGTTGTTGCAGGGGGTTGCCCCAGCAGAGGCTCTGGTAAAAAAAAAAAAAAAACTAAACAACAATAAAAAAAACTCATAGGGTCATTGACAAAAAAGTTGAACCTGACTCAACTTATGCCACAATGCAAGACAACATCATCTGTTCTATTCTGTTTACCTCACAACCATCAAGACGAGAGGCTAAAATGATTGTCACTGTCAAAGCCTCCCAGTATTGTAAAGCATTCCAGTAAATGTCAATGTGGAAATTTTAAACCAACTTCCAAAAAAAAATCATCAATCAAAACAAATGAATTTGTGTTTCCATCCCCTACTGTTCTGCAGAGATAAGAAGTTGATACATTGAGATTAACATAAAAATAAAAATATTTGGTATCACTAATTTTTGTCAGCTGCCAGTAAAACATCGCAGAGGGAGAGGGCACAACGAGATGACGTAATTAAAAGGGCGTCGGTCCAAACTCGAATGAAAATTATGTGAAATGTGTTTTTATTTTTTGTTTCTTGTATTAATTTGGGGAAAGTTACAGTCTCCTCATCACCCCACAGTGCAGGAGAAACTTCAGTGGACATCAAGTCACATGCTTCATATATATGTCATGATTCATTCTGTTTCCATTGGACTTTGGCGAACTTGGCTTTCATCGACTGAACCAAAGACTGAACCAACAGACACACATGCGACGAGCTAGCGTAAGCATATACACTTGATCTGGCTAATTGCTATCAGCTTACACTGAATTTTAGAAAGAGAACTGTCGTCTTGTCCTTCATTTCTATAAGTGTAGTTGCAGTATGGAGGAACTGATTCATAGATTGTACGAACACAAGGAAATATTACGTGAAATAAAATCTTCTCACCAGTAGCTAAAGCAACACACCCTCACTCAGGCAGCCACCCTGCACCTTTTTTTTTTCCAACACAGTGCTGTTTTCGGTCTGAACACCCAGTCATGCTTACATGTCAGTTATAATCATAAAGTAATTTGAGAAGAATAAGGCTAAAGACAGCAGTGAATGGGAATGTGATGAATTTATGCTCAACAGAGCCAGGTCTTTAAACTTAACTGTTACATTCAAGTATAATGAGCAGATACTGGAGTACATGTGATTTCATGTTGGCTTCTCGGTGATAATATTGTGTTGACATTACAACCTACCATGTGGTTTAAAGGATACACATGTCAGAAAGGATCGCTTACAGTAAACACAAGCTCAAACATTAGCATAAGCAACATTAAATCTCTAGAAAATGAAGCGTGCAAGCTAACAGTATGACTCATACCATCATCTGCATACAACATAGAAACAAACACCGAAACAAACAAGAAATGCTTTTAAAGTGTATGTGAAGCTGGCAACATGTCATATTGGTATTAAGTTGGCAGATTTTGAGAAAATGTAGCGCCAACTTAAATAAATACTGTGTGGTATTTATTTTAATTTCATTTAATAAACAAGAATATGTTCAGATAAATTAAGTTTAACATATTGAAAGATACAATATAGCATTAATATATTATTATGCACCTGTTAGATGTCCTGACTCTGTTCTGATTCTGTAATGAAAATAAAAAAATAAATGAGGCAGGCAGGATCTCTTGATTTGGCACTAACCATGTCGAAAGAATTTTACAGTGTAACCAATGGCTTTTTGTGAACGACATGACCTCAGTATGATAGTCAAGCAGTTAATATTCATCCGTTTAAAAACAATTTTGTCCAGCAGAAAGATTGCGACAATATTGTGATTATCAGAATGCATCTTAGTCCAAGTGAAGCAGTTCAGTTGCAAATTGTAGACAAAAGACAGCGCAGGAACAGCTGTACCGAGCTCACCTTGCAGTACTGTTAAAGGGCCTGTGACAGAGAGGTGACTATTTCCTTCAGGTGTAGGTAAGAGCCTGGGGTATACAGACCTTTTCCTCTCTCTTTCTTCTGACATCGTGTGTTTAGGAAGAGGAAAATTTTTCCTAGTTGCCACAGAGCTCCAAAAATGCTGCAGTTTTTTTTACGGGTGGGATAGGATGGATAGTATTTGAGAGGAGTTTCGCTGTCAGGCGAAGGGGCTGTCTGATTTTAAGATGGAGGCGTCTGCGTCGTGGTAGCCCTTGCCGTTCATGTGTTCTGTGTGGCTGTCGATGCTGTAGCAGCCCTGTACCTCTGTGATGGAGGAAGCCGTGTAGGAGGCTGAGCGCAGGGCGTCCGAGTGGTTTCCTACGCTGCTGCCAAACTGGATTTGATACTGGTTCCAGTGCCTCCTCAGAACCGCTTGGACCTAACCAGAGAAACCACATTTCAGATATTAATTGGACTATGTAGGAATCATTCGTTGAAATATAACTACAATTCATACATTGAAAATAAAGTTTAACAGTTTGAGAAATACATTATTTGCGTTTTCTTCCAAGAGTAAGATGAGATGATGTCTGGGACATGATTAAGGCTTATTAATCAACATGCTGTATCTCTTTTTTAAGCTGTACACAAACAGAAATATAAAAATGACACTGTGGTTTTAGATGAATTTGCGCAGGGTAACTATTTCTTGACAAACAACAGTTTTTTCATCCAGTCAGTACATCTGTCTAGTGTCTCAGCTGGTTGCCTGACAACTTCACTGTGATAGCAAGACCCCATGAAGTCAGTGGAGGACAGCAGCCAAGTGAATTTTTAAACTCTGGACAGAGCCAGGTTAGCTGTTTCCCCCATTTCCAGTCTTAATGCTAAGCTAAGCTAAAAGGCTCCTGTCTCCAGTTCTGTAATTAACGCACAGACTTGAGAATGTGTGTCTGCTGTCATCTCAATCTCTAAGAACCATATCAGTCTTATGTGTTAAGAATGGAGCTAGAGCTAAGACATGGTTGCCCTAGCAACAGGCTGGAAGCAGGGGGGCAACAGTGTGTTTTTTATGGGGGCTTTACATGCTGCAGCTGTTTCATTATGGACAAGAGCGCTGAGCACAGTGAGTATGCGCAGATTCGTGGAGTTGTACATAAGTTTGCCAGGTTTGCTACCGTCATACTTGTGCGGAGCATCATGATTCTGCAGAAGTGCTGTGCAGATGGATAAACTGATGTCAATAAATATTGCATGAAAAATCAAGCACAACTCCCTCTTACTCCACAAACTGTCAGATTAAACAGATGAGATGGTAATTAGTGAGCGTATTCTTTAGCTTCACCACAGCCTTTATGCTAAGCTAAGATAACCACATCATGAATCCAGCTCAGTACTCAACGCACAGACAGTAAATTGTTATTCTTCCTCTAATATAGCTCCTGGAAAGAAAGTGATTCAGCAGATTTTTGTTTGTTTGTTTGTCCTGTTAGAAACCAGTCTAGATATACTGTATATGTTCAACAATTTCTAATCACAGCTGAAGCTTTTGGACTGGTGTTGTCTTGCTGTTTTGATCACATCTTCAATGTGTCTCTCTTCGCTGTAAATTCTCTTGGATGCACTTTGTGACAACAATGTTGTCTTTAATTAACTTTATTCTTTTGTGAACTCCTTTTCTTCACAGCTTAAAGAAGAGTTTCTCAGTGGCTCTTGTAAGACATTCATTTTAGGCAAAAAACAGGCTATTTTGTATGCAGAGCCATCACCTGCATTATTGATAGCAATCAGTGTACAGCCCATGGCTGATTGCCAACAGTAAATAATCTTTAGTCTCCAGAAAAGTCCTGGAGGAATGAGACTGTCAAGACATAGGCCTACTCCACCATCCTGATCTAATGGTAATACAGAGGAAGTGGCTCAGTCAACCCCTGACAACAAAGGGGAAATGTGGGTAAGTGTGTGTATGTGAGATGCAGGTCTAAAAATAACAGTGAAAAGGTGTGACCCCATCTTACTTCTCCATTGAAAAAGCAGAAGATAGTGGCCACCAGCAGACCCTGGAATGTAAAAAATAAAATCATCATAAAAAAGACAGATAAAATATACCCTAGTAACTGGTCTTAAGCATCAATCGTCTGTTTGTAGATGATATCTTAAGGTTTAACATGATGAAGCTCAAAAAATGAGAGGTCAAACTGAATAAATTTTGAGAGCTGATTCAGCTGGTTGCTCAATACGTTCTCCCTACACTGCCCATGCTAGAACAGCACAGGATGATCAGATAACACCTCGCTAACATCCAACTGATTTCAGCCCCTTTCAGCACAGATAAATCATGCCTTCCTTCCTGCTGTTCTTCACTGGGCTACAACATAAACAAAGTCTCTTCGGAGGCTGATGGGGATGTTTGTCTTCTACTAAAACCTAGGACAATATGTCCAGGCAACAGTTCACTTTGTATATATTGCTACATTGGAAGAGGCAGACACTAACATGTAATCAAGTTTCATAATAAATGATATACATGCATATACAAGGACAACAGTGCACAGGAGCATTGCAGTTCAAGCAACATAGAGTAAACTTTGAATACCATTCTAAAAATACACATTGCACATGCATTTCAACAGCATGGCATAATGCACAGCTGTTTATGTATTTAATTATTTATGTATTTACATGTTCTAAGGAGCTGGTATCCATCACTCAGCCACATCTACAACACTGCACATAGTTCAGGCACGGTTTTTCTCACCTGGTAATGCATTAGTATGTGCATGATGTAGTCGTATATTTCAGAGGAGACCCGTCCCTCTGGCTTGTAGGGAAGCAGGACGTACTGAATTCCCAGGAGAGGCACCAGGATAAGGGTGGCTCTCACTGCTTTCATATAGAGACTCGATTCTGCTTGATGGGTCACCTTCAGTTTGGTGATAAGCACTCGCACGATGTTCAATAGAAAGAACAAATTGACCTAGGGAGCAGCAGAGAGGACATCAACACAAATACATATGCAAATATAAATACATGTAAACATAAATATATAAAAACACACATAAAGCTATAAAGAACACAATTGTAGAAGATTGGTATTCACAACAGTCCCAACAAAAACAGCCACACAGACCCTGTCTTTTACTGTTACTGTTTTAAAATGAAACAAAAAGTTAATTGACACATAATTCAGATCCTAAAAAGTAATCTATGATTAAGGTTAAAACAAAAAATCCATGATGTGCAAAACTACATCAAGCCCTTTTTTGAACGCAAAACCTTAACAGACCACTGTAAAGGTTGTTTGAGGCTGAATCATTTAGTCCTAAGAGAGTCTTAAGGGACCAGATTTCTCTGAAGCTTGCCTGGCTGTGCTGATTAGGTGAATTCCTAGAATGAAACATGGGTCCGGGGACCTGGGCAGATCCTCAGAGGGGCAGATGCATTGATTTCGCAAGATAAACACAATTATGCATGCTATGAAACTGTGTCCTGCTTTCAGGCCCCCCACAGTGTCCACTCGGAAGAAGACAAAAGCAGCTCATTGCTGCTCATTGCGCAATAAAAACAGTGCACCAAGTTAAATATGGAACAAATTAGCTGGTTTATTTTAGCAAATCAATATTATTGTGATTTACTTTGCTGTAATTGGTTATTACCAAAAGAGCAGCGCAGATGGGGCCGTGGATGATGTAGAGCAGCGATGTATTGGAGCTAATCCAACAGCTACAGCGGAGGAGAGGACAAAAGGGAAAAGTTTACACAACAGTGTCAATGAATCACATGACAGCTGACCCATGATGCAGATCAATGGTTGTTCTGAGAAATTAATCTGCATGAAAAAGCTTGAGAGTTTTCATGAGAGAAGCTAGGTTGGATGAGTTATGCAAGCTGCAGGAGCAGCAGATCATTTTACACAGTCTTTACCATAATATTAATCTTACAAGGCACAGTTATTACATCTCATATTTTAAACACATTTTGGGCAGGATTTGTTTATTTATGTATTTAATCAAGTTGAAATCAGTTAATTCAATGGAATCAATGGTACAAATGTTTTCTGAATAACAGTGAATAAACTGTACTTATTGTGTACTGTACTTGCTTGCTAATGGCACAACTGTACTTATTGTGTCATTAGCAAACAAGCTAAGCTAACAAGCGAATAAGTTTGCTAAGTGGCTGACTTGAACAAAATGGTGTGCAATGGAGAACAAAAAACAGGGGTTTGGGTTGGTAAGTAAACAAAAAACTAAGACTAGAGAGCTATTTTGCCAAGCTAGTGAGTTAACCGTTAGCTCACCAGTTCACTTTCACTTTGCGGTGTGAGCCTACTTAAGATATTTCACATTAAAAATTTATTATTATTTTATAGAATATATATATATATATATATGTATAGATAGACTATTATAGCCTAGCTAATGCACTCGAGCACTTACTTGTCATTGTAGTAGTAACTTCGAGCAATGGCATGTATGCAGGCTGGAATGAGAGGAAAGCCTGCAAGAAAAGTGAGAAAATACAAGATTTAAGATTTTGCAGTCTGAAAACCTTACATAGCTGTGACTGTGCCTCAGAATATAAGTTTATTAGAATAATGGAGTACAGCTAGTTGGACATTATCTCCTACATACCCCAGCCTAGGAGATAATACCACATTAGGTGCTGCTTCTCAGCAAACACAGCCACCACGATGAGAGTGTGCAGGTATATTCCCTCACACAGCATCCAGAAGTAATTGCAGCCAAACAAGTACAGATGAATGAATTGGGACACTTTACAGCTCGTCTGAGGAGGAAACATATGCACATAATGAATGTAGATAGTGACTGTGACATTTTCTTTTGTGCAGTATTTTCACAGTTACATGAAATGAATAAAGAGTGCAGTTTCTGGAACAGTGTTATGATTAAATAATGAAAATAGGATGACAAAAGGAACAACTCAAATTGAACAGAAATCTGTTATAAAATGAATTATTAAATTAATAATAAAAACTATTAAAACAAACTACATAAACTCACTGGATTCCTCTGCACCAGCTCCTGGTTGTTTGCCACTGCTGTCAACCAAATGATGGTGATCACAGAGTTGAGAACAAAAGAAAAGAAGAGGTTTTTGTGAAGGGTGATCCTTTGGCAACTTAAACTCCTGCAAGAAGAGAAAATTACATTACACCTGGTGCTGGTGATATACGTGAGGGATGAGAATCCGTCTATAAAGCATGGTGAAATGAGGCTTGTTGGCTCACTTGAAATGGAAGAATATTCCAAGGGAGATGAAGAGGGAGGTCAATGACAATCCGTGACCTATGAGGGCTAAGTAGAAAAGATTCATTGCAGTCTGGAAGGAAACAAGAGAAAAACATTAGATTATCTGGATCTCCTAATGACTACTAATGTTGTGAGACACTATATTATTATAGTTTTACCATGAGCTTTATATACAGCTACAAGTTTCCATAAATACACTCATATCCTTTCCTCTTACAGTAAATCATTAACTTATAACATCAAATCATGGAAAAGTTAACTGTCAACGGGAAATGAATTAATACGGAGCAGAGAGAGAGTTTTTTATGGATATTCATGCCCCCAGAGAGAGAGCTGTAATGTAATTATTGTGGTGAACCCCTCAACCTCTCATCTAGCACCATCCCACTCACCAACTTTTCCCACTGATCTAAACTTTGGTCCATACTGAGAAATTGAAAAATTTTCCATACAAGTAGATTGCTATTAAATTTTCATCTCATGAACCCAATGAATCCATCCTGAGGACAAACTGCACATTTTTAGCCCCACCACACAATCATTTCAGTACATTTCAGGTAACATGAGCATGACGTGTGCTCAGTTGTGCTTTTTAGTTAAATATATTTAAAACATAAAAATGCATGTAATTTGCACATCAGAGAACTTTAACTGCTATTAAAAAGGTCAGCGCTAACCATGACTGAGTTCTTCTTATTTTATGCTATACAGCTGTATATATTATGTACTTTTAATGCCATATTATAGAGTGACCAACCACTCTGCCTTCATTGGTGTGTTCATTGCAGCGGGTGTAGTTGGTCCATGTCCGGTTGCTCTCAGGATGCAGGAACCAATGACCACTGTCAGTGCAAATCTTCGTTACCATCTCTGCAGGTAAAAAATAATGCAAAAAAGTTGATATGAGACAGAATACCTCCTAAATACGTGGTAGGTAAAGATGTACTTTTGACATTATATGTTGCTTTTAAACCACGTTCTAAGAGCATATCAGTCCTTTAGGCTGAATCTTAAAGGATATTTATTATTTGCAGTAAAGCAGGTGGAAAAAATGTGGTAAAAGGTAAAATTATTTGAAAATGAAGTCAAGAAGAAGATGCCCATTGACACCCAACTGGACTTTTTGAAAAGTCCCAGAATAGTTTTCTTTGAAGTGGGCCCAGGCATGCACATTGGGGTGTCCCGTGTCGCTGTTCTTTTCTGGCTGAATGAATTATACAAAAAGGGGAAACACTCAGATATAAAGGGGCACTCCACCAGTTTTACACATGAAGATCAGTTTATTAGTAAGAGGAATACTACTCAGCCTATAAAAATCTGTTGTGTAATGTCTTCTGTGGTTTTGGAGGAGCTTTAACGCTGATGATGCCATGAAGGTTATCTGGGTTTGGGCTTGGCAACCTGCAGGTTTATAACTAAAAACCTCCATTACAAACTACAGGTGAGGATTTGACCCATATTAGGGAGTAAATATCGGGCTAGCTGAACCTCTGCTCTTTGATTTTGCTAAACTTACAAATGGACTGAGCATATTTGGCAATGTTTAAGTCACAGATTTCACCTGAGGGATCGAAATCCTGGAAGTAGTCCGGGCAGTGCTGCTCAGAGATAACTCCTGCCTTTGTGTCGTCCCAACACAGCCAGCCATCCCAAGTGCGATTACACATGGCCTCTAAAACCATAGAGAGTGTTAGGGGTTACCAAGCATCGGACATTATACTGATCAAATCATTTATTCAGTTGGTGTTTTCCAATAAAACTTTACAATAAGTTGATGTAAAAGAGAAAAAGCAGTGTTCATGTTTCAGTGCTATGAACGTTAATCAGTCAATCCTTTCTGCAGACCATCTTATTATTTTTGTTCTTCCATACTGATCAAAAAAGTTTCTCAAATGCTTCAAACTACTGAACATTAAATACGATAAGCCCAAAATTAGCAACATAGACTTCTACAAGTAGTGTTTTCCAGTTATTTCTTACTGCCATTCAATGTAGACAGCTTTAAAGTTCAGAAACATGAAACACCACAGCTACCTTGTCTGCCGTTGGTGTTATCCTTCATTATCTTTTGATAGCACTCAAACTGTGCAGTTACTATCTTGTTCCTGGTCAGTCCCATGTCATGGTAGACATTGGTTGGATGCTGGTGTTGGGTTTCATTGACCTCCAGGCTAGCCTTCACAAAAAACTGGAAAAAGGAAAGAGCGAAAAAGTGAATAGATTGATTCAGCCACTTTTTAACCAAGAGATATAATTCTACAGAGATTGTGGAAATGTCACACAGAAGATATATTGGACATGAGTATTTTCATCAATAAAAAAATTATTGTTGTTAAGTTACAAATTAGTTAATAATAATTAATATTGATGCTTTGCAAATACTTTTGTGTGTGTGTGTGTGTGCGTGCGTGCGTGCGTGCGTGTGTACTTGCACTTTTAAAAAATCAGTCTCACTCTTACGTAATTATTTTTAAAGTCAAGTATTTTACTCTGCTACATTTAAAGTCAAAATTGTTACAGAGTAAAAATAAAAGTCACATGACATATTTATGATCCACTGTGTGAGAATGCAACAAACGAAAATCAGCAGCTGCAGCAGAGAAAAAGCTGACTCAAAGCACCACCCGCTGACCACGACAAGTGTGCCAAATCAAACACACCTGCCATGTTGCATGACCAACAAGTGCATGCTGGGTCTGCCTATATGCTAGATGTTCAAATTCTGATGGTGAATCTTTCAGCTGTGACTTTCTTCGTTCACTTCCACCTTTCTGTTCACTACCTTTCTGCTGTTTTAAACAATCTCTGTTGTGACAGCAGCTCATTCAGCTCAGTGTTTGAAAACATGGAGGAGCGCAGTGACACAGAGGCTGAATGGACTGGTTACATTTTACAGCGAGAGTAAACAAGCAGACATGTTGGATTCAAAGCAGATTATGGAGGACTTCTCACAGCGAAGTTCGGACAGGTGAGGGCAACGGATGACTGATTGTTGTAACTCACTGCACAGAGGAGAGCATCAACAACTACTGTGTTGCCTAGCGACATAGAGTTTTGTCTTTGTTTGTTGGCTGCAGCAGCTGTGGAGTTTATGTTGTTCATACATCACCGCCTTTTCTGCTGCTTCAGTCCTCTGTTAATTTTATAAGAAGTGGCAGCTGTTTGATTTATGTAGCTTAACATTGCTACATAAAGTCTGTGGACACCCACCGAGGTGTGTCACCTGGGAATGGTGTATATGTATATGAAAATCAATGTATATACGCCTGTATACATTGTATACATTGATTGTATTTTTATCTAAGTACATTTATACACAAATAATTTTACTTCTACCCAGAAAAATTTCTTTTCAGGGATGGTTCTTTTAGTTGAATATAATTTCCAGTACTGCGTCCAGCTGTGGTGAGACCCGACAGAAAGACGGTCTTAACAGTATTTACGTGCAAGATTGTGTCTGACTCCAATTTTGGCTGTGTATTCTCACTCAGCGGGGATGTATTAAAGTAAGACAGTCTTCACATCCTACTTCGAATGCCTGAAAAGGGAGTCTAACATACACAAGCTTCCATTAAATCCATTTGCGCTGAATGGAAAATATGACATCTATGCAGAGCCACTGCCAACCAGATGTGTCCAGCTTTTTTATTACACAGCAGATACCAACCTGAAGCAGCTTTTGAATCCTTTGGAAAATCTTCAACATTTTGTAAATAAGTCTCAACAGGTTGGTCTAAGTCATAGCTAGTCATAGTTAACTACAATATTTGTAAAATTTAGATACTGTGCATTGGTACAGCAAGATAAATTGTGTGATCCATCACTACACAGCTGTTTCTTTCACTGAATCGAAAGGCATTTCCAAAAAAAAAAAAACAAAACGAAAGAAAATCTGCTGGGTTTTCTGACATATATGTAGCTTCTCCTATGTTTGATTTCTCCACAAATAAAGCTATTCTATGAAGTGTATTTTGTGTGTGTGTTTTCAGTATTTGCTTGTTTGCCTGTGTGCCTGCAGGCTGGCCTACCTTTGTTACATTACACAGCAGTACGAGTGCCACCATCCAACTCCGTCCGATGCTGCCCATCTTGCGTTTGGCCATGTCAGAGCTGGTGGACGGTTTCCCAGCTGCAGATCTGGAATGGAGAACATCGTTAAAGTGACATAAAAATCATTATCTCTGACTGAAATGCTGTGACACCTAGGCTAAATAGCCCACACATAATGACTTATTTACAGCAACATACACAGACTTTTTCGGATCGATCTAATTGAATAGGTGTGTAAGACTTAAAGGGACTCAGAAAATCTCATTCATCTGTCACTTGCTCTCACTGGCTTAACGGATTTTAAAATGTAGTAAAAGTAATATATTCAATTAAAGTGACCGTCAGTGTATGATTTTACTAATCTAAACTAACAAAATCCCATCGATCTAAGAACTTTCCATTTCCCTGATAAAAGTCATTTGAGCACAGCTGAGACCCATGACCTCACTGCTGCTGTGCGTTTTGGGAGCCATATCTCCTTTGCACTCTTCCACAAATTCTCAGATGTGACAGCACTTTTGAAATTATCTTTTTTTTTTTAAAGTGACATTGGTTTCTCATCAAAGCAGAATCCCAGAAAGTTGTTTGCGGCAAAGCTGCGGGCCACTGCGATTTCGCGGCACGGCTGCTGCATAGCAGATGAGACAAAATTCAAATGGAGACACATCCCTCAGGTTGTACAAATCTGCTTTTCAAGACAGTGGCAGCGCTAATGCTCAGGTGGCTTTAGTTTAAGCATGTCTGCTACCTCTAATGTTTCATTATCAAAGAGGCTCTGTGTGATGCTAATAGTCATGCCCATGTGTTATTTTTTCCATAAATGTATTTCAGCATGAGCCAAGAGTTCCGCACTGGCACCCAGTGATAGGAAATCACCAGGCTAAGTTCATGTGGCAGCGTTGCTTTCGGCGTGAAACTGTAACAGGCAGCTGAGGAATAAAAAGAATCAGCAGGGATGAGAGAGACAAAGAGAGAACCTGAACCCAGGATGACACACGGCTCGCAGGAGTGAGTTACATCTCATTCAAAAGTGAAATTTAATAACGTCTTTCATACCCCAAAGGAACTAGGTCATTACTTGGATTTGCAACATCTGAAGTCTAATTAAATGTGGTGGAATGGAACAGCTAAACCAACACTGCAACAGGGAGATAGGAAAATGAATCTACGAGGCAAATATTTACAAAATGCAGGAACTTCAACTTTACCTACACAAGTATTTATTTTCTATCACTAATGATAAATTGACAAGTAAGAAGATGTAGTGTTTTAGGGCTCGTAATTTTGAACCACAGGATTTTATTCTCATACTTCACGAGATCTTTTTTTTTTTTTTTTTCCCTACTACAGGTGCCTACTGTTCATTGCAGTTAGCACGAAACAGGGTTATTCTTTAACAGCATGTGACAGCTCAGAATATGAATCTGCTGAGAGAAAGTGAAGAGAAATATGAGGAGCAAAAACAGAGGAGCTGCTGATTATGCTGCAGATCGACCAGTGTCCCATTCAATCAATCAACAATGAAACCACAAAATCCTTTTTTGTGCTGCGAGTGGGATTTTTTTTTTTAACGAATGGGTTTCTGGGGGAAATCCTCGCAGGGAATTTGAAAACAATTCAGAGTAACTCAGACTTCATGAGGAGATCAACATGAAGGTCTGTCTTTGTGCCATAAACTACATGAAGTGAAAGTTCTAAGGTTATACATTGAAAATGTGGAATATGGCAAGAAAGAAAGCGCGCCTTCAGCTCAGAGTGCAGAATTGGCTTGTTACATCTATGTCAAACATGATAATGTAACAAGTGTGAAAGGGGGGGACACATGCTGTCCATTCATGGTTTAGGACACAAACAACATATTTCTCAATAACTGCAAGAGCTATGTCTACCTCTAAGAGTTAAACTGGTTTCCAGCAAGTTGCTTTTTTTCTGAAAGGTCCCATACTTTACCCTTTTCCTGTGTTTTATTTGAAGTGTTGATCCATAAGAAGATATATTTGTGGATACATTCGTGCTTTATAATCAAAAAACACATGGACATCTACCTTTGGACCAAATGGGACATTTAATACTGAAAATGTCCATATATAGGTTATCATGATATTGTGGTGATGTTCTTTCTACCCTCATGATGTGTTGATGTGCACCTGTCCTCCACTGCTTGTAAACCTGGAAACATGTTCATAACATTTTTTGTAATTGGATTTTAATGGATTTGAAGCTGCTTCAATTTCGCTGAAAGCTTGAAAACAAATGAGCCTCCGAATAAAGGAGGAGGTAAAGCAGGGGGTCATCAGTCTGTACATCACTGAGGGATTTGACCCGTTTGGTTCCCACCAGCCTCCCTGCAGCTCAGTCTCCAGAGCAACTGGCCTCGTGCCTCCACAAGTCTGTTCTGAGTTAAGCAGCATTACACTGGGGAGAGGAAGGGAGGGGGGGAGGGGCTTACTGAAAGTGGGGACTGTAAAACATTATGATGATGTGCAAATTAGAAACAGCCAGGAAAAGATCAGCTGCTCTGTCACACGTGCATGAATGCAAACACACTACAATGCACACACACACACACACACACACACACACACGCGCACGCGCAAACACACAGCGCTCTACTTTGCCAAGTTCCCCGGGTGTTTCTTGGCAAGAGTTGTGCTTCATACATTAGCATTGCGATACAGAGGATATAGCTTGTGAGATGGCAGAGAACAGACGGTAAAGAATGCTTTCCCAGTTGCTGCTTGAACGCTGCCTATAGCCACAGTAGTTGAGATTTGTCTCTCATCCTGTTTTCTTTGGCTGCTGCTTCTCTTTTAGTGGCCATACATTGCAATTTAACAAATCCTAAAGGTGGTCAACAAATGACCATGACCATTCCCTTCTGAATAGAATCCATTTGTCATGGTGGGAATTTCCAGTAAGACATTTTGTTCGTTTCTGACACAAATAATCTATTTATGATGGAGAAACAACACTATGTTTTGAGCAGTTAATGTTGCTGACAAGTGGCAAACAACTCAACACATGCTGTAGCTTAACTGTGATTGGTATTGTGTTGGTATTCCACAGCCAAAACAGAAGAGCATGGTCAACACCAGACAGCCCGATTTTGAATGGCATAGCCTTGGGTAATAAGTGACATGAAAGGATGAAGAATGGTTGGGGCGTAAAAGTCTTTTGTCATTTCTAATTCAAAACAAATGACAGTACACAGAGTATAAGGTTTTAATTCTGCGGGTCCCAAACCAAACCTGTCTGCGTCTAATAGCAAGTTATGTTCACTGGTACTGGGAAGTCCGGGCCTAACCTTAGGCTAGGGTTGTCACCACACTAGAATTTCAAACTCGATACCGATAGCCAGGAAAATACTAGATACCATTTTCGATACCACAAAATATGAACAATACAAACAATAACATTAATGACAACACTATTTTAGCTTGAGGTAGTGCAAAAAAACACAAAAAAACAATAGTAACCTTATTGTAAGTTGTATATATATATGATATGCAAATGTATTCAGCTACAGCCCTGTTTATTTTCTGTGCTTCTGGTCACCATATTTTAGTTGCTGATCAAATAGAGTTGGTTGGGCACACTGCTGCTGATTCTGTCTAGTTTCTGGTCGACTTTTCTCAGCTTCAATCTGGGACTTTAAGAGAAATATAACACTTTTCATACACAAATCATTGTGTTATCCTGTTAAATGAACACCGTCTTACAGATGGGCAGGACTGATAATATTTGCTGCCTAGCTCCGACATTAACGTTGTTCGTTTAATTATTAGCCATAGCTACTAGCTTAATGATAACTTTGCAGATGTCTAATGTGGCTATCAGATAATTGCCAGAGACAAAGTTATAAACCTGTTGCTCCTATAATGCAAAACCAATGAGAAATAATCTGTTGCTTTTATTGTTTGCAGCTTCCTGAAAATGTTGCCAAAATCCTCTGCTGCCCTGTCCTGGGTGGCTGCAGAACAATTTGAAAATCTATGGGAAGGACACATATGTTCTATTCTACAGTAGTCTGAGGTCAAAGAACTATTTGTGTTTCTTTGGTTGTCTATCATGTGAAAATTCATCAATTTGGTAATAGCTACAGCAGCACAGATCACACCAAAACATAAGCCACACTTTGTTTCCCCTACCACTACACAGATCAGGACATGATGGCTGCAAAACAGATGAAGAAAAAAGAAAGAATAGATAAATGAATAGATAGATTATATACTTCCTAAATAGATTAAACAGATATTTTTCTTGCTAAATGCAGTTCAAAGCTAAGAGACCAAGCTCCACAGATGCACAACACTTGATTATAGACTTGTTTGGGTCAACTTAAACCAACCGCAGACCGGTGCACACTGTGGGTGGTCCGCTATTATCTGTAGTACCTAAGAGTGTTCCACACAAGTGGTTAGTCATGTACACTTTGCACAAGAGCTGACATCACCTATTACATCCGCCAGCATACACAACGATACCCAGAAAAACAGCCTATGCATAACAGCTGTTGTCTTCTCAGGGCAGTGCCAGAGCTCGGCCTGTACTTATCAACTCCCACTGTCCCTGCAGATATGTTGTGCGGTGCTGTAAAGATCCTTTTGCCCTCTACAGGATGTTTGGCGCCCCATACCACAACTTCCACTCAGTGGCATTCGGAGGTCCATTAGGCTGGTGAGAGCCTACAACATCATTACTGCTTTGATCTATAGCAGAGTACAGACTTAACTGGAGAGGGGAGAAGCCTCAAGAACTGATGAAGTCTCGCACAAGCACAACAATCAATATGTGAACCATGTGCTGGTTTTGCACTGACTGCCTGTTAAAACTCATGTTCATGTTCTACTGCATAGGGGCAAAGTGACCCCACCTCTTAAAAGAGGTATTAAACTATGTATTAAAGATTTTATATATGCATGGTCCATATTCTTGTAATAGTGGCAGTGCACTCGAGCAAATGAACTAAAGACTTGAGGAACCCTTTGCCAAGTTCCCCAGCTGTTCCTTGGCAGGAGAACCCCAAGTCCCCCCTTTTTTTTTTTATTTCAGTGCAAATACTAAGCAAAATATCCCCATTCAGTAAA